CTCAGCACTGACGAGCAACAACTCTTGATCATTGAGCAGCCAACTAGCCAGGCCTGAGGACCCTGTGCCACCAACGATGTCGTCCAGCCTATGGAACCGCACCTCCTCACCTTCATGGAAGGCATCCACGAACTCAATGATGTCACTTAGAGGTGGGGCGAACTCGATCGGCATCGATGGAGTTCCCTGTTCTACCGGAGTGCTCGGCATAGCACCTAGAGTGTTCGGCACCCTGGTTGCAGTGCTCGTCACTACTTCTGGACCATTCGTCACTACTCCTACAGTGATTGGCACCACTGTAGGAGTGCTCAGCCTTAGTCTAGGAGTGGTTGGCACCACTGCAAGACCTCTTGGCTCCGCTACAGGAGTGCTCGACACCCGTCCTGGAGTGGTCGCCACCACTGCAGAACCTCCCGGCACCACTCCTGGCATGCTCGGCATCCCTTCAGGAGTGCTCGGCACTTCTCCCTAAGTGCTCGGCATCCCTCCCGAAGTGCTCGGCACCACCCCAAGAGTGCTCGGCTCTGCCACTGGAGTGCTCGGCACCCCTTCCGGAGTGCTCGGCACCTCTTCCCTAGCATCTCCAGCACCGTGGATGACCAGGTGCTCGACGACGAAGGTGCCGGTGAAGCCGCCAGCTTCCCCCGTGCTCAGACTGGTCCAGTCCCAAGCCGCCTTCTCATCGAACACGATGTCACGCGAGACAAGCACCTTCTCTCCACGTCGGTTGTAGAGCCAGCACGCCTTGGTACCCTCCGTGTAGCCTAGGAACACCATCGGTGTGCTCCTGTCCTCTAGCTTGGTGAGGATCGGCTTTGTCTTCCTGACGTGGCCGATGCAGCCGAATGCCTGGAGGAAGGACACGCTCGGCTTGCGTCCATACCAAACTTCGAACGGCGTCTTGCCCGTCAGGGCCTTGGTCGGAGTGCGGTTGAGGATGAACACAGCTGTGGTCACCGCCTCACCCCAGAACCTTATCGGCATGCCTTTGGCATCCATCATGGATCGAGCCATGCCGTTCACCATTTGGTTCCGCCTCTCCACCACGCCATTCTATTGTGGCGAGTACGGCGCGGTGTGGTGTCGCACCACACCCTGATCCGCACAGTACGCAACGAACTGCACCGAAGTGAATTCGCCGCTGTGATCTGTCCTCAGCACACGGAGCTTCTTGCTGCTCTCGGCCTCTGCACGCATCTTGAACTTCTTGATCGCCGTCGTCGCTTCGTTCTTGCTTGTCAGGAGTTGCAGCCACATGTAGCGACTGCAATCATCCACAAGCAGGAGGAAGTACCGCCGACCACCATTTGTAGCTGGCGTGATCGGCCCACAAAGGTCGCCGTGAACGAGCTCGAGAGCGTCCTTCACGTGATACATGTCCGCCTTTGGGAATGGTAGCCTCCTCTGCTTCCCGGCCAGGTAGTTGTCACATAGCTTGCCTCCATGCTTGATGTGGGGTAGCCCTCGAACCATATTCTCCAGTCGACCAAGCGCGTCGAAGCTGAGATGTCCGAACCGGGCATGCCACATCCACGATTCCTCGGTATGCCTTGCCGCTAGACACACCGGCTGCTCTACCTTCAGGTCGAGCAGGTACAACCGGTTTAGGGACCTCTTCACCTTGGTGGGAAGTCGCTGCTCCCGGTCCCTGATCCTAAGAACTCCATCCTTGATCAGTACCTCGCTACTGCGCTCATCCAGCTGACCAATGCTGATGATGCTAGAACGCAGCTGCGGGATGTAATATACATCCGTTAGCGCGCGGTGCTCTCCGTTCTGGCATCTGAAGATGATGGTGCCGCGCCCTTGGATTGCCACCCTTGAGCCATCACCAAACTTCACCGTACCGGTAACATTGTCGTCGAGCTCGGAGAAGGTTGCCTTGGAGCCTATCATGTGGTTGCTGGCACCAGAGTCTAGATACCACCACTGCTCCTGGTCGGCACCCACACGTCTGAGGTTGACTTAGGCGCATGGTTCGTCGAGGTTGACAACCTTCAGGGCCTTCCCAGGTCCTTCCACCGTCGTCACCTCTATCTTCTCCTCGGCCTCGACGTCGTGTAGTGCACAGAACGTCGCCATCAGGATAGTAGCCTCATTATCATCATCAGCTTGCGCCAGATGAGCCTCAGCCTTCTTCTCCTGCTTGCGATTTGGGCACTCCCGTGCCCAATGACCCGTCTTCCCACAGCGCCGATAAGCGTTGGGGTCGACCTGCTTCTTCTTCTCCGAAGAAGCCTTGCCGCGGCGCTTGCCATCGGCACCGCGGCTGGAGGAGGCTGCCTTCCCGGAGTTCCTCCGAGTAGCCCACTCCTCTTCTGTCAGCAGCAGTTTGCCCCTGTCCTTTGTTGCTGTCGCCTACTCCAGGCGCTCGTCCATCGCCCACAGACGGCCTGTCTATCCTCAATGATGAGGGTGGACAAGTCCAGCATCGTCTCTATAGAGAGAGCGATCTGGATGTACTTTGCCAGCACGGAGTGGAGGTACTTGGAGACCATCTCTTCTTCGTCGATGGTGATGCCGTGGCTCTTCAGCTTGCTGATGAGCGCCTGTAGGTGGAGGGAGAAGTCCTCCACCATTTCACCATCCTTGAACTTGAGGTTGGCGTACTCCTGTTTCAGAAGCTGGGCCGTCGCCTTCTTTGCGCGGTCGAAACCGACGCGCATCGCCGCAATAGCCTCCCACGCCTCCTTAGCAGAGCTCTTCGCCCCCAATGGCTCCCTGTACTCTGCCGGTACAGCAGCGAGGATAGCCTCCAACGCTGACATAACATCTTCCTCATTGTCGGTGCCCTTGTCAACAGCATTCCAGAGCCATCGGGCTCTGAGCTTAACCTTCATGGTCACCGACCACTCTCCATAGTTGGTGCGAGTCAGCGTCGGCCAACTGGTGCCGCTGACCTCCCGCACCGTGCGAACAACGACCTCCGGTCGTGGTTGGGAAGCCACAGCAGTGCCACTGCTGTCGCCTATTTCCGAACCGTTCGTCATCGCCAGCGATTAGTCCGGCGATGGCGCTTGTACGGCTCTGATACCACTTGTTATCCCACAGGATCACCGGCTCAGGTGAGTCGACCACTCACCAGTCTTGCCGACCATGGCCGAGCACGACCGAGGCTGTCCGACCACACACACTATGGCTAGAGGTTGAAGAAGAGGGAGAACAGAGCATACACACACAGTACAAACACTAGCGTTGGCCGGAGCCCTGTATAGGAGATGACAAATCTGAACTCTCTTTACTGAGTTACAGTGGCGAACTTTTTATACAACTCTATCCATCTAATCCTAGTACAGCTGCCATGTTGCTACAGTGACTAGATAACACAGCAGGACTGACTTCTGCGCCTGTCCCTTCATGTGGCTACAGTGCGGCAGGTGAGCCGTTCGGCGCTTGCCTCTACAACGGCTACAGTACCACAGCAGGAGGCCTTTTCGGCGCCGTCTTCTCTTACTGTATGTTCACACAAGGCAGCGGTAGATTATCTATCTATAGCTAGCTTTAATTAATTTGTGCCGAGGGCCTCCGTTTATCTACGCCGCTAGACAACTTGTAGGACTGTCTTTAGGAGAGAAAAAGGGTATGGTTAGGTATCAGCAGGTTCAACTCACTCTTTGGTTACGTTCAAGCAGTGTGGTGGTTTGCATTGCTCGCTTCATTCTATTCTGATACTATAGTATGTAGTGGCTGCAGACCGACCTGCCCTTATCCATGCGGCAACCCAAAGCGATCTGCCCTACTACCTAGCTAATCGCCTAATCCCTGTACTTTAGATCCTGCACGCGCCATCCATAATATATATAACATATATAACAAGTGTGCAGATAGATATATACCGTGACTATATATATGATAAGAATTATGTACGTATAATAGCTAAAGCAGCTTACAGTAGTTTGGAACGGAGAGAGTATCGATCGCATATACACTGGTATATATGTGGAAATAGTTAATAATAATGAAGTGCATGATATGGACATGCCCATGCATGCATATTATTAATTTATTTGGTAGGACACATATGTTATTATATAAGATCAGGCCTTATTTGATACGCATGTACACTCCGACACACGTGGATTGGTGAACTTTCATATATGTTTCATTCACACAGCTCAACACATATATGCATGTAATCCTGTATTTAGGGGCCGGCCGGGACAGAAAAAAGGCGATGCATATATGTGCATTATGTTGGTTCATTCAAGGAGAGCGGTGTTTAGGGCGATATGATCTCCGCCCAACAACAATCATACACGCTTGCTTTAGTGGTTGACAAATTGCATTAGTTGCACCGGGCCGCCCGGGGCTAATTTCTCTTCTCTATAGCGCTGCATGCTGCATCCTGCTAGTAGTATGTACCTAAATAATCCAACACATATGTATGTACACACTAAAATATATATACAGTATTTAAGAAAGCTTTATCATATAAATGTGGCAATATATAGTAATATGGTAGCAGTAATAGTATATCTCTTGCATGCTGCACTGCACACCGTGTCCCAACTAGGTTATAATTAGCTAGCTCAATAATAAGGGCATGTCGTGTCAAATTAAAGGGCGTCAACTGCTGCTTCAGACGATGACTTTCACTTGCACCACTCCATCCCCTGTGTCAGCTCAGCTGACTGTACATGTGTGTGCACTGGTGATAACTTAAGCTAGTAGCACACTCGGTCGAGGGTATATTGGGAATGAAATTAGCATGTTGAAAAAGTTGCATTGTCATTGATTGTTATATATATACACCCTCCCTTGGAGCGGGTTGGCGAGTCAAGTCACTGCATCTGCATACACACTTGCATCACAAAGAGAAAGAGAGAGAGGCCAATGCTTCTTCTTGCATGCATGCTAACTAGCTAGTGTAGTACTACCTCTCTGTCTCTCTCTCGCTCTCTTTGTGTAGATATAGCTAGCTAGAGCCACTAGAGGCAGGCAGCCCGGCCAGCCATAGTAGTAGCAGAAACCTTAGGCAGGCAACAGGCAAATCGGCTGGCATGGAGGAGGAGCTGCTTCTGGAAGGATCAGTCGCTGTGCCGCCGCTTGATGAGAGCAATAATTACTGCTGGCCCAGCGGCAGCGATTTCGGGACGACGGAGGAGCTGATGATGATGAGTGACCTCGTCGACGAGGCGGCGGTGTCGTCGTCGCCTGTGCAGCAGCAGGAGGAGCCTCGTCGCCGGCGGGAGTCGATGCTCAACAAGCTCATCTCCACAGTCTACTCCGGACCCACCATCAGCGACATAGAGAGCGCGCTCTCTTTCACCGGCGGCGACCAGGCCGCCGCCGTGGATGCTCGCAACTACAACTCTGCCGGCCCAGTGTACGTCGCCGTCCGTCGTCCTATGAATTCGTGTATAATATATATATTCCAGAAGTAGTAATTGTAAATATCAAATAGCACATAAAGTCGTAACGTCTTCTACTATATAGTAGTATCTCATATCTAGATAATCGATCACCAAATTAAATGCAATTAGCTAGACAGATGCATGCATGTTGTTCATCCATGCATCATTCATCATCACCTGATCGATATGGATGCTCTCCTAGTAGCAGCTAGCTTATTAATCGATCGATCCTATATAGGGTTTTCTCCCCGGAGAAGGTGCTGAGCAAGATGGAGAACAAGTACACGCTCAAGATCAAGACCTGTGGGAACGGCCTTGGAGAGGATGGATACAAATGGAGGAAATACGGCCAGAAATCCATCAAGAACAGCCCCAACCCAAGGTACGTATAGATGATAGTACTTGTTTTATATATTATTTCTACGCATGTAATAGAAATTAATTTGACGATCGATCGAGAGTGGAATTAAGCAGCAGGAGATAAAAAAAAAACCCTACTAGAAGAGGTAGCTAGCTAAGGTCGCTATATATGATACTGCTATATATATTATATGATAGATGATGATAGTGATGAGGGGCGACGATTGATGCATGAACGAGCTAGGTATAGTAGTCCGGCCAGTGATGAACCAAGGAACGAAGGAAATGAGCCCAAATTAAAAGAGCAGTGCTTGCTAGCTGTGCACTGGCCTGCCTAGCTAGCTACCTACCTTTCCCAACTGAAAACTCCCAAGACAACAACATGTACCGTCCAGTCCAAACGCACAGCCTGCCTGCTTGGTGTCATGGTGTGTGCTTGCCAATGCAATGAATCGAACCAACACCTAGCTAGCAGAGTGTGTGTGTGTGTGTGTGTGTGTCTACTTATATCGCATGAGCATGTGATGTTATATTAGCTGATTACTGATCGAATTGAATTCAGACTTGCATGCATGCAAATTAAGGTAATAAGGTAGATGTAGAATTGATTACATGACATGACATGAGCTGAACTGAACGCTTGCATTTTGCGTGCAGGAGCTACTACCGGTGCACGAACCCTCGGTGCAACGCCAAGAAGCAGGTGGAGTGGTCGACGGAGGAGGCAGACACTCTGATCGTCACCTACGAGGGCCTCCACCTGCACTACACCTACTCGCACTTCCTACAGCCCCAGCCCCAGCCCCAGCAGCCGCCGCCGCAGCCCAAAAAGCCCAAGCTGCACTCCGCCGCAGGCCCACCACCACCAACACCACAGCCCATCATCATGCTGGAGGACCTCGACGGCCCGGCCCAACAAGACATCACTACCGGCCAACTGGACGCTGCCGCCATGGCTCCAGCACCACCACCGGCTTTGTGCTATCTTGACGATATGTTCCAACAGCCTGCCTTTTTCGAGGAGGAGCAGCAGCAGCAGCAGCACATCACCAACGGCGGGCTGCTGGAAGACATGGTGCCGCTGCTGGTCCGGCGGCCCTGCAGCAACACCACCACAACCACCGGCAGCAGCACCACCTCGTCGCCGCCGCCGCTGGCACCGTCGCAGGACCTTTCGACGTCGTCTTCTGTCTCATGGAACCCCACCTCGCCTTACATCGACATGGCCATTCTCTCCAACATTTTCTAGCTAGCTAGTCTCTATCTCTATATATACACGTACTAGATGATAATATTTGTGTTGTGTTTGTTGTGTGGTGATGTATGCTAGTATGTATGTAGATCGATCCAGTATATACATACTAGCAGCAGCTACACTAGTAGTGTGTATGTAGATCCATCCTCAGGCCGGCAGGGGCTATTGTCTGTTAAATTGTTTGTGCGATATCTAGTACGTACGTACGTACGTGAGAATGGGATCTCATTATATATGTTATTATATATCTAAATAAATATTATACCGCGCGCACCATGAGTTCGTCATGCATACTGGTGCAGTGATCTACTCCGTATCCTGTACGTGCATGCATGTAATAAACAAAAGTAACAACATTCTTTTTTAGAGGGATTTGAAACATTCTTTTGTGTGCTGATGATGGGCCTGCCTCTTTATTAACGACCCAATTTGGCCTAGCAACGGAATGTATGTGGCCCATCTCCGATCACACAAACGCAGAGAGAGCGAGTGAGCATATTGGCCCGATCCATCACACGTAAATTTCTTGCTCGCGGGCCTTCAAACAACGGCATGGTTGTGGTGGAGTTAGTAATAATCAAACGATTGATCGTCCTTTGAATTGGGGTACTCATTTTTATATGATCCTATGACCACTACATTCATTAAACCTAAAAGAACTAGCAGACATGCATGCACGTTGCCGCACACACGTGCCTATCTAAAATAATTTTCCTTTCATAATATAGATGAGTAACCATCATTTCTTCGATAACTCAATTTGAATATTCAATCCATATGATGAGTTCCATTATTATTCATATATAATTGGTACCAATAATTATTTTAGTATGTTTGATATTGCTCGGTCCATAACTTTTATTAGCTACATATTACAAAGGAACACAAAGTGTAGATGTACTTTATTAGATGAGATTTTTAAAAATTCAAAGGCAAGATTTTATAGTGCAATATTACTCAACTTGTATGCTGGGTTCAGATGATGAGCCAAATTGATACTAACAGAAGTCAGGAGACCATTGTTTATAACAGCAAAATGTACTAAACAAATGCAAAAGCAAGCATCTCACTATATCTTCAATAAAAGGCAATAATATTATCAGCTTTGGATTGCCAAGTATATGCATGATGACTGAAAAGGGTGACAGTATTAACTTAGTACCCTACCATTCTTGGACCATCCATTCTATTAGTTGAACCTTAAATTTGGAGATGCCAGGTCACAACAATGTATAAAAAAGAAATAGATTGATCATTAGTAATTCTATTGAGGAAGCCAACTGATGGACAAGGCAAAAGCTTCTTGAAGCAAATCATGTCTTTCATTTGAGTTCAACATACTTCTGAGTGCATGTACAATCTTTATACAGACGTACTTGCAATTTAATTAATTTCTGTCCATCTCTTTTATTTGCAGTCGATAAGCTTTACCCACCTCTAAATTAGGTGTGTTCATGTACTCTTTGAACTCGTTACGTCATCCATTCATGCATGGATTAAAGACAACCTCACCAACGGAAAAAACTTGCGACTCGCTTGCTCGTTCGACTTGTGACCAGATTGGCTCGGCTCAGCTCCAATGCAAAGCAAAGCAGCCGATCCATTATCAATCTAGGATCTGCGACTAAGCAACGTATGTGTGTCTAACTTTTAAACCACATGCTGGGTGAATCATCTTTTTTGGCCTTATTAACACAGCCCCATGTACTAAGGGCTTGTTTGGTTCCAAATAAGTCACATACTTATAAGTTAAAAAGTAAAATAAGTGACTGATTTTATCAAACACCACCAACTTATAAGTCACCCCTGCTTATAAGAAATAAGCTGGTTCACCCCTACTTAAAACTTATAAGCCACCCTTTTCTGCGTGAGGCCTACAGCTTATAAGTCATCTACAACCAAACATGCATGACTTATAAATCACTGGTTTTCAATCACCTAACTTAATAAGTCACCTGACTTATGAAAACCATACATGACCTAAGAGTACTTGGGAGATGCCTACGCTGGCATAGCATCTTGCATGCAGCTCAAATTCCATCTCCGGGACTCTCACCCTTTCCAACTTTCAAATAAAATGGTTAGTCCATGTAAATTGTTGCTATTAGTTACCAAAATCTAAATTATATTCTTATGTTACCGTAGTTGAAGTGTCACAGCAGTTCCCTGCAGGTTTAGATTTGCCGGGATATATTTTATGAATCTTGAGATTCTGGAAGAGGGGCTGGGCACGCACTGGTGGTATGTATGTTGGTGCTGCACAACCTTAACAGTAACAACAGGCACTACTATGTTACCTCGCCTCTGATGTACTACACATATACTAGGTGGCTTGGCTAGGTGCAGACGCGTTAGTGGGTTCGCCTGAATGCCTGATCGATCCGCATCAGCTACATGCTGGCAACCTATGCAATGCATATTTTTAAGTATTATTAGATGTACGCACATGCATGCCACTAGTACACTCGAGCTCAGCACTGGCGGTTCTAGAGGCATTTCTACTGGCGGCTGAACCCACCGCCAGTGTGAAAAACTAGTACAAATTAACAATACTACAAGCGGTTAGTTAAGATGCCCAGTAGAAATAACTTTGTATTAACAGTTTCTCTAAAACAACCCCCAATGATAATGGTGTTTACACTGGCGGTTTAAGTAAACAATCCGCCAGTGTTAAAGCATTTTCATTTGCGGTTCGTTTAAGTCAGCCGCCAATGTAGTTTTTTTAGCACAGGTGGTTCACCTAAATCTGCCGCCTCTGGAATAATTTTTCCAGAGACGGTTTATTAGCAAAACCGCCAGTGAATTGTTTTTAAAAATTCAAAATTTGGCGCCATATGTTTCCCGCCAGTGAATTGTTTTTATTTCCCGCTAGGGAATATTGTATAAAAATTGAAACGAATCCAAACAGATATCACATAAAATTATTTTTACATGCATGAAAAAAGTAATATTTGTTGCAGTTTACCATAGTCATCACACGCTAATAATGTATACATAAAACAAAGTTTTTTCCACTCATAGCTAGCTCGGTCGTCCCATGACGTACTCCTCTAATAATCTTCGTGGTTTAGCTCTGGCCTAGCAATATCTACGAGTTCTCGGTACTGTGGTTGAGCTAATTCCGAGTCCGGATCAAAATACTTCCCATTGAAGTGAATTATTTCTTTCATGATGAACCAACAGAAGTCCTCGCAAATGGCCATGAGGTCACCATTTTGGAGGCGTACACTCGTGGGATTACACTTGTATACCTGCAAAAAAAAAGTCATCATACATTTACAACTAACCAATATGGAGAAGGCATCAGTAGTGACAAAACTTCACTTATGACTATTACTTACTTTGCTAGGGTTGTTGGTGTATCTCCCGTTTTCTCTGAGAAACTCGCACACATAGTACCCATAAAGCATCGATCCTGGTGGTTGCTTGTAGCACTATATAAGAATTGGCAAGTGGTTACATAGTTGCTACGTATACATATATATACAAGACGAATATGTATGTTTATTTAAAATTTACCTTAAAGTTAATTCGCACATGTAGCGGTTTTTTGGTTTTTTTTAAATCGTAGCGTCCACCCTTGAACTTGTAGAACCTGTATGCCCAGCAGCGCTCGAATGAATTCAACAAGTCATATGGATCCAAACTCTCATATATGATGTAGAAATGTTGAAAAGCACGCATGCAAATCTTGACTTACAGATCTAAAATATCGATGAACTTTTGATAACTGCTCTGCGGGAAATCTACGGAGTCAAGGACCAAAAGTCGTCCTTCATGGAGATAAATGAATCTACAAATCCAATGATCATTGTACGAATTTAATGAACTCATGTTTTATGATAGTAGTAAGTTTATAAATAAAAATTATTAAGGGAGTTTAGGACCAACATACTTGAACATGTATGGTGCACATACAATACTCCTGTTTCCGAATTGAAGAAACACGTTTCCTATGTAGGTGGCCACTACTGTTTCCTGTTTTTGTTGCTCCTCCACTCTAATTTTGGCTATTTCATCATCGGTCTTGCCCACAAATAAGTCGTGGTTAGGACCCATAACCATTGTGTGGTCGTTCTGGCTTATTCTGGCCGGGTCAAGATACCCAACCTTTTTCTCCTCGTGAAGAAACAGGTTCTCAGTATACCGCATCTCCTGGTCTAATTGTTGTATTCTGTAGAGCGCATGACATTGTCAGATACTTCATGCCCTAACATTATATTAATTAGTAATAAAACATAGTTATGTATGAGCGACACTTACAGGCACCACACGCTCATGAGCTGGATGTCGAGTTTTTCGAGGCAAAACATCAACCAAATGTCCTCGAAGTAAACAATAATCTTGCTATTGCCACCCATAAAAGCTAGTGGTGGTACAGCTGCAGAGAAGGCATTGATCTCAACCGAAGATGCTCTCATATACCAGTCATGCAACCTGTTCATCGCACGTGAAACACCATGGAGTTCGCACCACTGGAGTAGAGGCCTACCTGGAACATATTTATCGGTGGGGACATTATTGTAATCCTCTCTTGTAGGCTTCCGTATGGTGATCTTGTTGGAGGTGGACTTGGCAACTTTCTGACGACTGGAACATGTGTCTGGTTTCCTTGCCAATCCGGCCATCCACTTCTTCATGGCCCCCGGTGAAGTCTTGTCCTTACCTAAGGGCGTAACCATTTTTGGCACAGACTGAAGGTTTCCTTTAGCTACATGGCCTCTAGGTTCCGATGAGGCATCCTTCTTGCTCGGGGATGATGGTGGGTTCATGGATGTCGATGCTGGTGGGTTAGGTAGAGGCTCCAAGTTGGTGTGGAGGCTAAATGATGGTGGTGGGTTAGGTTCTGGTGATGGTGGTACGTCACGAGATGGTGGGTATGATGAGATGGCGAGGCTGCATGTGAGAACCCTCCTCCATCGTCCACTCCGAAAAATGGCATCGATGGAATAGGATCATTCAACCTAATGTCCTATCAAGGCCATAATATGAAC